GAGATACCCAACCAACAACAACAAGCATCAATCAATATCAGTGGGAGAAAGCTAAAGAAAGTTGTCTGTCTCACCCAACCTACCTGTCCAGGCAAGGCAGCATCGTCTCAAATACAGGCGGTGGTGGCGGCACAGATGAGGATGTCAAAGCAACCAGGATCGGAAAGACAGCAAGTCACGCCTTTCAGCATTAATCTGAAACAATCAGTGTAGAGATCTACTTCACTGCACTGCACTGCACTGTACTGTACTGTACTGTACTCGACTCAGTGATAAAGCGCGAACAAGATCCGGATTCCAACACTAATGCAATGTCAGTCAAGTCAGTGCTTCTACGTGGTGGTTGACAGACGTGGAGGCGCGTTACGAAAAGCATTTTCAACAAACAACTGCAGAAATGCATCAACAGCTACCGCCTATGCTCACTCGATACTGACACTGGAGATCAGAAGGTGGCGGAAAGAATAAGCAACAAGGAACTCACTCTGACTTGTCAACGAACCAACTGAGAACCGACCAACCAATAAACATGGAGAAGAAGAGAGTGTAGATGGATTGGATTGGTTATGTACTGAGGAGACCGTCTGGGGATATGACGCACTTGGCCAGGCCGTTGAGTGTGATCTAGATGGGGACCGACGAGTTTGGAGTTCGAGGGTGATATGAAGGAGATCGTGTGAGGAGGAGATGAATGGTTATGTGGAGTGGTGGAGCGAGGCTGAATAGACTGCAGAGGAGATAGTGAAATGGTGACGTGCCACTGAAGCGTTTTGTTTTACTCGTAAACTAAATGATCAGTAATAATTACCAGTTGATATACTCTACACGGTGAGCTATTCGAGGCTTTGATTTGATGAGCGCGAAGTTCGAGTCTGAAGGAGGAAGAACATTAGTCGCACGAGAGCAAGTTCATCGCATAGCTTATATGTCTAAACAACAAGAACATACGTTCTCCATCCCGCCACTAGTCATTATCAAGTAATTTTTAGTATTCCCTCAAATCACTTGGCCAATTCTTCCTTCATTATTATATAACTTGATGTATGTAGAGCAAACGTTTTGGGAAATGTTTAGTTTTGTTTGAACTAAAACTTTAGTCGGCTTCCGTTACCTCATTGACCTGGAAACTGCCTGAGTAGCTTAAATTGAACTTGTAACTTCTTAACATGAGTAACCACTTATCATTCCTGATTCTTCAGTGAACTGTCTGACTAGTCTAACATTATAAACTTTATTTCTACCATTCACTTATCTGGTAATATTAAGCAGGTATTCCTTACATTTCTAGTTTGAATAAAAACACTATTTATTTGTGGAATGCACAACTAATTTAGAGCATCCGCAATCTAGAAAAACGGTGTATTTTCTCATGTTGTACTACGAATCAGCAGCAGAAAAAGTCAAAATTAACATCGGAAGAAATCGAAAAGAACCTAAGGATCATTGGAATATAATATTGCTAAGTTTTGCGAAATTGATAACTTCATGAAATCTAAATATTTCTGTTCGCTGACACGAGATGTTCAACAACTGATATCTACTACTTCAGAAGTATGAACCGTGAAAACTGTACTTTTCTATATTAGCCCAACCAACTGTTATTTACTTTATGTACTAACATATTGACTGCGTTGAGAATTTATGATGTGTCTTTATATATATCATGATTACTTTTGTCTGATTACTTTATTAGCTTTTATCAGTCCTACCTATTGAAGGCATCATAAGGTGGAATAATGGATTGTTGACTTTTTGAAAATGTGACAGAATATGTGGCTTCATACTGAAGAGTATAAGTAATTCACATTAGCAGTAAATATCACAATACAACAGCTCTGACCGCAATAAATTAATTTGGATGATGTGTTTTAGTTGGTTAGAGATAACCGACAGGAAATCAAGCGTAATCTATGTTCTGTGCTTGTTGGTACTCGTCTGCAAGACGTATCAGCTATCCTTGGGGAATTGGTGCCCACTGTGAGATTTGAATACATGTCCCCAGTACTGCAGTCAGCGACATTATTACTAAGCTACAAGACTCAGAATCATGGCATCGACCTATACTCGTCGGAAGAGGTTACTGATTTTAACTGTGGATCATTCTGTGTCAACTGATGGTATTTATTTCGTCAGTGTTGGTTGAATGCATCTTATTCATGGACATATTTTAGTTAAAATTTAATAATGTAATAAACTTACACAACATAACGAGAAGATAACACATACTTAAAACATGTGATATATTAGCGCTAAGCATTTTCAACAATCCGATCATCCATGGAATTGTTAAATTCGTTATAAGAAAAAGGACCTGGAGCAGCTATCTGTAAAGTACTCTACGCTTCTAAGGTCACCAGTGTATGAAAAACAAACCCCATTCTTCAACACAAACCAAGATAACACAGATAACAGCATCTCGTCCCATTTTGTTTTCAGCTTAATTACGTATATCTGTATGTAGATGGATGCATAAAAATCGAGAAAGAATTGAGATGTGTAGCTGAAAATGATTGGATCTGTACCTTCAAGGCTTCAAAAACAAGCGAAATAAAGTGGTCTAATAGGTGCAGATGAAAAACGCTCATCTTCATCTATTAACAAACACTTACTAGAAACCAGTCTTAAAGGTGACATCAAAATAACCTTTGAAGTATTGCATAAAATAAGTCAGGGGAAAGTGCCTAAATTTACCAAGAACCTAATCATCTCTAAATTTAAGCCCATTTAATGCATTTAAAAGCAGTCTGCACTCATCCTAAGCCTACTTTATTGGTGTTGCCTTTAATTTCCATGCCAAGGAAAATTAATTCAAATCTTATTTCTGTTCAACCCTTCCAATTCTTATGCTTTCTGATAACCTAATGACCATTTTTTGGATTTTCGCATGAATAATTCCATATTTTCATGTGTGATAAGACAGTTCGAATGTATACCACTAGTGCAACACGTGTTTTCGGATAATCTTCACCTTCTTATTACTCTAAGTAAACTTATCATGAGAGAAGAGTGTTTAAAAATTCAATAGACTATTTTTACGTCAGACGTTTGAGGAATATCAGCAAGGAGTTGCATGCAAAGGTTTTTAAGAGGTATAATAAATTAACATAATTTAAGTTCTCCTTGAAACTAGAGTGCTAGTTAATTATTTGTAAACTCTTTCTTCTTGATTCAAAAGTTGTGGAATTAACTGTCTAATATTTTCTTGTTTTGAGAGAAATAAAAGAAACATTTTCTTGATAAGTTTCAGAGACTCGATTTCAATATTTTCGAAAATAGTTACTGACGAATTAGTCTTGAGGAATTATGACTCAGTTTCTGATAAACACTTTTTTTGTGTTTGCGCATATTATTTAGTTTACATGTAGTACACAAAAGTATAGTGATAATGATAACGAGGCTGAATAGTGATCATCGAGGACTGTACAAGAAATAGGTAATTTAACTTAGTATTCTGGTGGATAATAGTTCGTTTTATTTGAAATCATAGGCATCAGACTTCAGTCTCAGCAGGAACAACAAAATCTGGGTAGGTATATATAACTGAAGTGTCTCAAATAGAACAAAAACGCATTGCGGACACTTTTTCTAACTACCTTCCATCATTAATATCAAGATGAAATAGATAGTTGTTAACTGGATGAAGGAAATCGGCAGGACGCCTTGGATCTATGTTTGGAGCGCTTCGACACTCGTCAGCAAGGTGTATCTGCAACCTCGAGGGAGCTGACGTCTCTTGTAATATTCTAACTTGCATCACCCAGTTGTGCAGCCAGTGACGTTATCAATGAGCGATTCGGACCGCAACTGATCTCCGAAAGGGCTGGATTGGATAAATTAATTGATCACTGAACAGCAAAAAATCTCATGTCAGGTTCTGAGCGCCTACTATCACTTCGCAATTTGGTCATCAAGCTAGACGTCTCATCATCGTAATGCGCCTTGATAGATGTTAGTAAGATGGAGGCAGTCGGCCTAATGGCATCGTCTTCGACTGTGGAACTGGTGGACGTGTGTTTGAATCTCAGGCGCAGCACCAACTCCCTAGAGATTGCAGATACTCCTTACTGACAAATGCAGGAAAGCACGAAACCTAGATTAAGAAGGGCTTCCTGACGGTTGCCTCAGTCCAACTTACCTTTATTAAAGTTCACTGCAGTGTTAAGTTGCCTAGCCTGGTGGCCACATTCCTGGATAATTGGTGGAATTCCATCAGCACGTTAAACTGGACAATATGCAGTCGGCTATCCTCGAATAATCAGTCAATGTAAATACACACGTCTCAGTGGATGAAGGTGTTCCCGATTGGGCCATCTAATGTTGCTCATGAAAAAAGGCTACTATAATTGTGAAATGCAGAGCTGGAAATATCTTTGATACAAGTACCTAGAATTCAGTAGTTTTACTGACATAAAGAATAGGAAGATATTTCAAATCAATAATTGTCATGAACCAATGAACTAAACAAAACCAACTATAACTATCAGGTGTTTTCTTTCGCTTTGTAACTCCCCGACACTAAACAGTATGAAGAAATGAAGTGCAATAGAAGACTCCTAGAAAAGTGATTTGTAGTTTCTTGCTCAATAACTAAGTAGAACTTTATTCCTTTAGTGGTCATCGAAACCAAGTAATGCAACGTAGATTATCTGTAGTGTTGAAAAACGAGTTTATTCTTGAGGAAGGTGGTATCTTTATGGAATCTGATTACTGCAGTGTCAAGTATTACCTCACAACATTATAGTTTGAGGATTTTTCTACCTTTCACCATGTGGCTAAATCACCTAAACAATCCTTAAAACACGAAACAGTACTTTCACTTAACACTCTGAAATTTCCGTTTTTCCTGTGAATAATAATTCGTTTTTAATGAAAATTGAATGTTTTCGTTGAGAAAACTGTTTGAAAAGTTATCATAATGACACTTGGCTTTAGTAAGTGTACTATAACATGTTTGATACAACAGGCATGCCTGCATAAATGTATTTTGTTCTATGATTTAGCCCATAACAGTGACATATTGGCCTCTGGATGTAAACGACCAGAATGGACTCTTTGGGTAAAGTGACAGAGAAAGGTGAAACAGTTCTGTTCAAAGAGAAATTTTTTGATTGGCCTGATACTTCAAGAATTCAAGTGAAGTCACTTAAACCTGGAAAATCAGCTTCTATGGATGTAGGTTCAACAAGCGTCTTTACATATCAGGCGATATTCTATTTATTACTAAAATATCACGTGATTTAGTTTATTTTCTCTATTGAGGAAATACATAATTTTATACATTTTATACAATATTTTACAACTCAGGCGTATATTACGTAATAGACCGCTGATTCTTATTAAACGTAACTTCTAAGTGATTCAGTTTATCTTTGGAGAGGTTGGATACTTGCTGGTACCTGCCAGTAAGGCATGTTTGCAGATTCGCACTAACTGATAACATTCCTGAAGCCGCATCACTTAGTCAGCAGTTTCACCACTCAGCCATTCCGGCCGCGATTTATCCCATGTAGAAGTTAATTAAGTACACTAACTGATAATTGGAGGGTAACCTACCGATTGCCTCCGTCTAACTAATATCTATCCCAGTGCAACACGATGGTAAGATTCCTAGCCTGATGGCCAGGTTGCAAAATAATCGATGGAATTTGATCAGCACTTAAAAATTGACAGAATGAAGTTGGTCGCTTCTCAGTAACCAATTGACACATTTATTATGAGTACCCGTTCATTCTGTGTATGCCTTTAAGCTCATTTATTACTCGTTATCGGTAATGGTCTCCCTTTATTTCTAAGACTATTTTCAATTCACTGTACACAGTCAACTGAAGCATTAGTGTAACTTTGTCAATAGGATATCTTGGATGTGATAGGGAAGAAGAAGAATGGGATTCGCCGTCAGTAGTTGATCAAGATATTTTTGACAATAATAACACAAAATGAATTTCGGATTTTAAGATAATTTCTTTAAAGTGACATTACTTAAACAGTACAGTTTGTTCCTATGACAACGTCAACTGGCTTTTATTAGTTTCAGTCCAGTACTACAGTGATCAAGCATAGCGTAGGGACAGGAGAATTTACTAGCCGACTGAATAATACTGTAGTGTCCTAACTACCAGTCTAGTTTGCTTTATTGGTAACAAGGTTTCGGAATATGACTCAAAGTAGTTAATTATGATCACTCCTAAGGTATTTAAAACGAGAAAAGTACTCGGTAAACAGTCCAGAATCAGGCTATTAGCTGATGGGAAAATGTTAAGTTGACCTACAAGAGAGTCTGTCGCCAAAGTTGATAACAACAAAGTGTATGTAATAGACATTCAAAGCAAAAGGGTATCTTGCATTTGAAGACCTACCGATCTGTCTATCGTACTTTTTTAGACTAAATGTATGTGTAGGCATTTGCGAAAAGTGATAAAAAGCAGGAGTAGGCAGAAACACTAAATTTTTGATAAACATGATTACTGAGAGACACTGCTAACTTATTTACTTAGGTTGATAAAATCACCTGAAACTAAGAGGATTTTTGTGTTCAGTCACCTGTGTAGCACAAACCGACCCCAGCATTAGACTGGCTATAGGTGTTCTTTACAGTGTGTGCTTCATGCTCTACTGTTTATCGAGAAATTCGTACGAACACACAAATAAAAAATAATAACAGTAATATGAATACGAATAATAGCGACATGACGAGTAGAAATATGCTCACAGCCTCTATATAACGAAGGAACATCAGAAACTTCATTTAGGATTGTCAACAAGGCTGGAATTTGGATGGTATTTAGGCCTACAAACTCACCAAGAGATAAGCTTCGTCAGCTTGAGGACCTGATGAATCCAATTAAACAAAACAACCTAATCCACTGAATTCCGTGCAATAACTGTGAGGTTATGTAAATGGATGAAACTAGCTGATTGGACATAGAAATTTTGCCAAATATAAAATGATAGAACGTAATAGGATCAATAATCTAGAAAAAAACTCTGCTATTCCAAGAGAGAATTTAAAGGCCACCCAAGCAACTACTGAGGTAATCAATCGGACTACTTTGCTCTATGAAAATTTTGCTTGTACAGAAGAAAACCGAAGAAACCTAATTGGTTACTTCGATCATTGCTAGGGTGGTCTTGAAAGTCCTTTTCGGAATAGTCAAGTTTTTCTAGATTAACAAGTACACAACCATATGATAGGGTGGAATAAAACAATTGTAAGTAGGTGCAATACAACAAGGTAGAGAGAGAGATAGATTACTGAATCTTTCCTCATAGAATCAACACCCAACACGTGCAACGCTTATAACAGAGATGTGAAATATTTCATTACTAATAAAAACAATGAATATGGGTGTTTGGACTAAAAAAAAATCAGTTGTCGAAATTTGTGTGATGATATTGAAATGATTATGAGCAATAATTTTTATGCTGGAAACGTCATCAAGTAAATAATACTGTATCACTGTGCGTCATACATCAAATAAACAAGTCTCATATGGAATTACGTTCCACCATATTGCCCATGTTATACACTTATAATACTTCAGGCTCTCCTTAAAATGTTATTTAGTGGTTAGTGTCTCATACTGTAAATAGTGATAGTAACCAACAATTAGAAAGTTAATAGTCTCACTACTGTCACAGTTTGAGCATTTTTAACACAAATCAGCGACTTTTCTGTGACTTCCAACGATTCTCAGCATATGAAGGTAACAGTGAAAGGTTCCACTTTATAAACTCATGATTAAAATGTTTACATTGGCAGTTATGGTATTTCTTGAGGTAATAAACGCTCGATTGATTATTGAAGCATTCGTCAACTCTTAGAAGCTTGATCTCCATAAATTCAAACTACGGCATTTTTTCACCAATTTTATGAAGTTTTGGAAAACGAAGCGAAATGTCACTCAAAGTTTTCAGTGAGGATTGAATTCACATGATACTTTTACGCATGGGCTTAAGTCTCTAGTCATTATTTTTTAAATTTCTTTATCTTGTAGAGTTCTCCTGCTGCAGCTTCCTTGACAATGGAACCGTTTTCAGCTGTTGAACTTTACGAGGCTGCATTTAACAACCCACCACCTGCACCTAATTTGTTAACACTAGAAGGTCGTTATATTGGTCGAGGTGGTAAAGTATGCCGTTATGAAGATGGTATACTGAGACAGTTTTGGTGCAGACAGATGAATTACGTGTTTGGCATGTATCCGAATTCGCTAGATTTGAACTGCCAGTCACAAGTCATGGACAACTGCATAGAGAAGATACTTATGTCATCCGTTGGTCGTATAAAATTGCTTTCAGTGAGTGGAATCAGAGAAGTTTTGCATAAATAACTTATCTTCATAGTTAATAAATACTTTCATGACGAAAGTAATGTTTTGAAATAATGCACCACCCGTTTTCATTTGTCAGTCATAAGACTATAGATTCATACTGATAGTCACTAAAACATATGAACTAGTTATGAAAATATGGGATTTATATTGTTGTGGTATGCCATTCCTTCTAGTCATTGAAGTAAAAGGCTGACAAATTCAAGCGTACAACAACTTAACAGGAGGTTCATGTTATGACTTAGCATTTTGCTTAGAAAACATCCTGGTAGTTGCAGCTACTCATGTTTCGTTTGAGTCACATTGGGAACGTTGTCATTGTATCCAGTAGACATCGGGAGTTAACTAACTTTGGCGACATGAATTTTGTAAGGTAATAATAATACAGATGCATTAACCCTTTATCACCTTCAAAGCTCCTGGCGATTTTAAAATTTCCTGGATTCCTGCCTTCTCATATCTCTCATCTTTAAGTTACTGCTGTTTCACTTCTATTGATTTTCTCTATTTGCTCTTGTGAGGTGTGCACATATGCAAAGGATTGTAACTTGTTTTGCAGGTACTTCTAACTGAATTTATCTAGATTAACAACAAAATGTATCCGTAACTGTCTGACTGTTATTACCAAATGTAATCGAAACATAATCAGCAAGCAGACTACTAAGGCTTTCTTATAAGTAGTGCGTACATTAGCAAAGCGTAGTAACTTCACTTCCATAAGTTAGATTTCGCATTGTTAGTTATCTGAAAAAAGTTAGATACCGTTCTAAAAGAGCCCTTTTTCAATAGAATAGAACACAATAAATCTATAACTGCAAAATGACATTTCAATACAAGAATCTTTACCACCAGTTTGTTTGTCTTCATATTCCAATGATCACTCTTTCAGACTAGTTCGTTCACTGGTCTTCGTGAATAATTTTAAGTATTGCGCGGTGAAAACTATCAATTTTGTAATTATTATGCTCATTTTAAAAAAAACTATATATTTCGGTCAATTATACAGACAAATCTTGCTTTCTCTACTATGAACTCAGTTCAGTAGCAGGAAAAACACTGAATAAAATGAAAGTGTGAATAGGATAATTTTTGTCATGCTTCAGTTGTTTCACACGATTAATGTACTGCTGAACAATACTGTAAGCTGGTGTATTCCTCTGTGCTTGGAATTTGAATGACCTGGCTCATTTGTGGAAATCCATAGAACATGACTTCGTCTCCCTATGACAAACACTTATAGAATATTGTGTTGATAATTGTCATTTCCTGTTGCTATATAACGTCAAACTGCTCGATCTCTGTTAGCAAATAAGCTCCTATTCAGATGATCCGAGGTAACATGTATCCTAGAATCCACTGCTGGTCAGTAAGATGAATATTACATCATAAATATTCAGCAGTACCCAAACATCCGTATAGTAGTATCCAACATCTTTCCAAGTAATTCCAACTGTCAACGAAAGGTTGATGGCTTATCCTGATTTGAACTGTAATACACCTAAAAAGCACTGGAACTTATACACTACTTCTACTCTATAAAGCAGTATATTTAAGCCATCCAGTACAACCTAGATCAACATTTCACTCTATGACTTAACCTTTTAAACTTGTTATCAATGTCAAAACAAGGCGAAATTATAGGCTTTGTTTCAGTTAACGTTTTTGCTATTTGGTCTATAGTAAAGTTGCAGAGAATAAATGCAAATAAGCATTCAATGTCTTTCATTCCTCTAAACGTCCACCCATCTTTCAAACACATATGAAATCACGATAGTTAAGAAACATCGCCAGAAAAAACTTGTGATCAAACTGCTTTTAAGCTTTCTTCCATAAACTACTTGAAGCCAGTAATCAAGTTTTTTAAGTTTTTTCACTTCTTTTTGACTGACATTGTATGTTCCCCAGTCAAGTAGAAGGGTATCTTGATGGGAAATCTATTTAATGAAATTTTATTTCCTCAGGAACTTCTGAAAAGTGGTTATATTGCCAAACATGTCTTACTCTGCTGTAAACATATAGTGGTTGCATGATTTCATTTGAATAGAACTAAATTTTTGTGCCTTCTTACATAGATTCACTGTCTTCCCTAACAGTATAAGACAGATTTGTTTTGTCTCATCGAAGTGTTTAAATATCTTTACGTTGAAATCCTACTGATCTTTAAAATATTTCAGTTGTCAGCTGATTCTGATGATGTAAAATAACCTAAGTCTATACATACACAAGCATATACAAACATTTTATTTTTCATATTATGAATACGAAAAATAGTCAGCATCAAGAAAAACCTTTCGGTTGTATTTTTAATCAGTATATTGTACTTGAATAATGGACTAATGATCAGTAATTGATTGGATGAAAAGTTGTGTCAGTGATACTTGTAATTCTCCGTTTCTATACTGGGTCATGTTCCTCAACCTCTGTTGGTAGATAGACTGCTATACGGATGCCTCGATGCTGCCTAATTATACATTACATTGCAGTGAAACCCAGGATGCGTATTCCTTCCTATTTGGTACTCTTCAGCTGGATAAGCCTACACCCTAGTGAGTAATGTTACAGCTATTGAGTCTTGAACAGAACGAAACGTGCAACCTGGATTCCACTGTTAGCCACAAGATAGACTCTAATAGAATGAAGGTCCAGGCAGTACCAAGGCATCCACAAAGTGGCCTATCTGCCAACATAGGTCAAGTAATTAAACCCCGTATGGCGATGGGAAATTACAAGTATCAATAGAAAATAATTAAAACCCGTTGCACAAGTGGTAGCTGTAGTCCCTCAGTGGTTTAGTGGGTTACGCTTTGACGTTTGAAGTGACGGATATCGAGTTCATCTCAATTGCAAATAAATCACTCACTGGATTGCGGGTTTATACGGCTGATGAGTTTCACTCAGGATGATTCATGGATCCTAGACTCCGCTGCTAGTCACCAAGCAGACTTTAGTTGGATGAAGAGCTGTTGAGCCGTTTTCATATTTGATATTCCAGATTCATGATTTATGTAGACATTTTTCTGAAGGTAACAGAGTATTGGAGATCTTTACTCGCTCCCTTTTGTGTCTGTTTTCTTTATCTTCGATGTAGATCAGGTCAAGAGCAACAAAACTGTCTTACTTCTTAAAGTTTTTGACCTACATCTACGCTCATAGTGTTACCATCTATCTTGCTGAGACTTAGACAAATGGCCGGAGACTGCTGCAGTAGCTTAGTGACTTTAGATTGCCAACTCTTAAATGGAAGGAAATATAAATAGTTTGATGCATTCTTATGGAAATTACAGTGAATATAAAAGAAAAGTTTGCGTATCCCCTTGTGTTAAGAACTGAGGTGACCAATGCATCTGGGTTAAGTTCCTGCGCTTTTATGTATTTCCAAAAGTCTTTAGAGTAAGAAAACCTTACAGAACAGGTAATTGGCGTGAATGCTGGTTTTTGACTTCCAATTCTGACTGGTAATATAGAAGATAAACTTACTAAGCGTAGGTATGTCCTTCAGTAGAAAATGTGTGATGTAAATTTTGGCACTGATATGGTGACTTAAATTCAGGTAAGTCATGGTTCTGAGCCATGTATCGATTAGTAACCTTCAGGTATTTCTAGTTTACTCAAAACTGATTCTTAACAATAACTTCTAATCTTTTATATGAACCCTGGCCAAGATTTCCCAAGGCTCCAAGAATATGGAGCACTGAGAGAAAAGTTGACATTAAATGAGTTATATATGCATAAACCGCAGCTCGTCTGAATTAAAAGCTCCAGCGAATGGCATAGAATTCTAGTTTTAGCTTCTTCAGGAAAATCATATCATGAAATAGGCGGTATCTCTACAGTTAATTGATATTGGTTAGGCGTTTGAAAGGATCGGTCCTGAGTTCGAGTCCTGATGGGTACAACATCGCTCACAGGTATATCCTTCTGACGAGTCCCAAGTGGGACAAAACACACGTCCTGGATTTCACTCATTGCCATTACCCATCATTGGACAGTGTCAATGCCTGAAACTAACTTAACCGGATGAGGAGAGAGATTCCTAACCAAATCCTAGTGATTTTATATACTTACGGATCAAAACTTGATCTGATCTAATTGGATAAGTTAAGCATTGCGTAAATGAATTATGAGTGAAACATACTCGTAAAATTCTAATGAGGCTGAAAAATTAATTCCTGATATTTCGCGACTTCGTAGAAATCGCTTCTACAGAGAATAAAATCTGAACAAGTTATAGCATGCTTAAACAGTAGCTGGCAAAAAATCAGATCACAGTTTTTATACATGTTAATAATGTGGGAATAAGTGTGGTCATTATCACTTATAAACGGATGAGGTCAAGGTGACACTGTAAATGTGTTTGCAAATGTGGATGGTTGTGAAGAGAGGAGAAAAATATTTGGGATGAATAATTCAATTTCTTTGTGTATATGTACTTTAGTTACAACTTATTATTTTAAAAATACTTCACAAGTTCAATAATCAATCATTATCAACATAGGACCAGGCATTACTGCGTAACGGTCCGAGTTGCCACACCTCACGTCAGTTCATCAAGTAAGAAGGTAGTGAGGTGAAGGATGAAGATAAGTGAATGCAGTCAAAAGAAATATAAAGTACGAGAAGAAAGGAAAGAGGAGTGACAAAATAGTGAGATTCGGTATAGCGTTGTTAAGATGAGGATAATGTGTGTATACATCTGCGCCACTGACTTCGGTTCTGAGCCATATCACCTAGGGTCTCCAACCACTGGTTCCTCTTGTCCCGTGGACCCCAACCACCTAGTCTGCATCGTCCTACATGGCTTAAACCAACAGTCAGAGACTTCATACATTGGTGCCATGTTTTAGTCTGGCCACCTCGGGCCTTTTTCCAGCCTGAACCCACCTCAGCCAACATTGTGTGACGAGGCAATCGGTGACTAGGCATACGTAGTACGTGTCCCAACCATCTCAGTCGATGAAGGTTCACAA